AAAAAAAACAAAAAAAAAACTTGGCTTTCTCAATTAGAGACAAATGTGAAGCACTGATGTATTTAGGGGTGAAATGACACCAAAGACTCTAGGGAAAAAAAGTTTGGGGGGATAAATTGAAACAAGATTGGCAAAACGTAGGTAATTGTTGAAGCTGGCTGGTGGGCACACGACGGTTTGTTATATTTTCCCTACTTTTGTATGTGCTTGACATTTTCTACAATAAAATGTTTAAAAATCTTTAAAAAACACAACTCCTATCTATGTGAACATATACATGGAAAAATCTGGAAGCTTTGTTGTCAATATCAGTGAAATGATGAAAATGCTGATATTCTTGATACAGTCCTTCAGTGTATCAGCTTTTGTAATAGGCACAGATAATTTCTGTGTTTAGAAAAAAGGGTAATAAAGATATTTTTAAAAAGGAAGTTGTGCTCAGAGTAAAATTTTAGCGTATACCCTAAGGTATGAAAAACATAAAAATCATATGTAATCCTGCAATCCTGTTGACATTGAGGGGAATTTACTTTCATATTTCTACCTCTGCTTTGCTCAATGCTGGGTTTATTTTATAAAAATGGAATCATCCCATGGAGTTTTGAACCCTTTAATCTTTTTCACTTAATAAAATATGAAAGGCATCTTTCGATGTCAATAAATATAGATAGTCGTCTTCATTTTTAATGGTCAAGTGACAGTCCATTACACTGACAGCCACCAGGGTTACTGTTCATCACTAGGGAACTGATGACATCACGTGTTCGCCCAGGGACTGAGAGGGAACCAAAGGGGCCATCCGAGGACAGAGTCGGGGAGGCAGACTGACGGGTGGGCCTTGTGGGGCTGGGAGCAGGGGGCAGGAGGCAGGAAAGCTCACCATTCCTGCAGACGGGAGGCCTGGTGCCACTCTGTGTACACAAGGTGTAGTGGGTGAGATGGCCCCGAAGTTGGTGCCTTGGGACTTCTCCCCACGCTATGTTCGGGGTCCCTGGGGGGGCATCGTGAAGTCGCAAAAGCACTGGTCCTGCTAAAGGTGCTGAGGAGAAAGCCAGTGGGTCACAGTCTGCCTGGGTTCCAATGCTCTCCACGCCCCCAGCCCCATCGCTTACCTAGCTCCTCTCTGAACCTCCAGACTGAGGGGGCAGGGTACAAGCCCTCAGAAGAGACTGCGGTCACCGTGATTCGATAGGGGACCCCTTCTTGGAAATTCCCTGGGCAGGAGAAGAACAAAGAGCAGTTAGAGTTGGCTCCCCCTCCCCCACTCATTGCCTATGTGGTAGGAGCCTTCACTTGGGTCTCCAGGACACGCTGAAATCAAGATCTGGGTATAAGTCATTTATCTGGGAGAATACCCCAGAAAACACCCGGAGGGGCAGTGAGAAAGCAAAATAGAGAAGGCAGAGCAGCCAGCAAACAGTCCGTTTGAGAATCAAGTTCCCAATGTGGGCAACGGAGGCTCACTCCAGCCAGGCCACAGCAGAGCACGCCCCTAAGACTCATCCATCCCACTTGAGGGAGGGGGTTGGGGTATTTATCCACCAACTCTTATTAGTCATTGGTCAGGGCTGCACGTGAAGTAGACTAGCTTAATTCCCCCACACTCCCAGCCTGCTGCCCAGGCAGGCAAAATGCTTCAGGGACCAGAAAGAGGCCTCAGGCCAGGAAATGCAGGAGCTGGAGGATGGGAGATGGGCAAACATGGCCCCTGACACCACCCATCCATCAGGGGTGAGTGAGGTTCCTGAAGTCCCTCCTCAAAACCTACTGCTGCTGGGCCGGCCGAGTGGCGCGATGGTTAAGAGTTGGCTTGGGACCCCAGAGGGCCCCGGTTCAGATCCCACATATGAGGGCCAGTGACGCTGCCCTCCGCAGCTGAGATGCTCAATGGCGGCTCGGCTCGGCCTGGGGCTGGGTTGCCATGGGTCGCTGGCTGCGGCGTAGGCTGCAGCCCCTGTGGCAGTGGGTTGCCATGGGCTACCGTGTGCAGCCAGCAGCCAGCGTGAGCGGCCAGCAGCCGCAGTGAGCGGCTGTCCAGAAGCCGGCGACTGATCTGCCTCGCCCGGGAAGAGCGCAATGATGGTGCCAACTTGGGCCAGTGTGGCGACGTCCGTCCTCCACAACTAGACTGAAGAACAAGACAACAGCAACTTGTCTGTTCCCCTTCCCCCAATTCCCCACCGCTGTTGCCATCCCCCCAATTCCCCAATAAAAATCTTTTTAAAAAAACCCAAAAAAACCTACTCCTGCTGCATGGCCTTCCCCAACTGGGAATTTTCCAGAATTGAGGCTCCTCTCCTTCTGCCCCTGTATACGTATGGGCCTTGGAACGCTGCCACACATTTCTCACTCAACACCTTCTCATGCTCTCTGTTCTTTACCCCAAGGAAGGACTCCCCAGTGTCAAGCCCCCAGCCCAGAACTAATTGCTGGGCCCCAGACCTGAGCATTTAACAGTCCCCCCTGGACAACTCCACCTGGATAAGCATCTCAGATGCAAACATATCAAATGAGTCCCCAAAATTCTGCTCCAAGAATCCCCAACCAGAACCTGCCTGCTTCTCTCCCCCGCTCACTGCCTGCCTGGTCCCTCTCTCATCATCTCCCACCTGCACCAGTAAGTTCCTTCTCTTACTTAGCTCCTACTGATTCCCCCCACAACCCAACCTAGCTGGTTCCCCTCCACAGCAGCCAGAGGACGCCTGTGAGCACCTGGGCATGTCCCTTCTCTGTTCCCTTCTCCCCCACCTCACTCAGACAAAAGACAATCTTCCCCCTGGGCCACAAGGCCCTGCATGCTGTGCTCTGTCACCGCCCTGCCCTCACCTTCTCCCACTCTTCCTCTCACTCATTCCACTCCAGCCACACTGACCTCCTCGCTGACTCTAACACATGAAGCACATTCCTGCCTCATGGCCTTTGCACTGACCCCTCTAGCTTTTCCCTCAGACATCCTCATGGCACCCTTTCTCACCTCATTTAGGCCTTAGCTCAAATGCCATTTTCCCAGGGAGGGCTTTTTTTAGCCTTTCTTTTTAAAATACCTACTCTCCCTCCTTCCCCTTACCCTGATTTATTTTGCCCCAATTACATTACAAGTGTACTTGTTTTTGTTTTATTGGCTCCCTGCCCCACAAGATTATTGGCTCCATGAGGGTGAGGATGATGCTGAGAGGGAGAGTGAAGTGGAAGGCTCAGGGTTTGTCTTCAGGAGCCTGACTGTGTCATTTAAATCCTGGTTCTACCACCTACTTGCTGTGTGGCCTTGGGCAAGTTACTTAACCACCCTGGGCCTTTATCTGTAAAATTATCTTCATCTGTAAATTTAGCATAATAGCAGAAACCTATTTTATAAAGAAGTTTGAATAATTTAATGCTTATGGTAAATGCCAATTGACATCAGCTGCCATCACTGTGTACCAGTGTCTAGAAGAGAGCCTGGCACACAGTGGGTGGTCAATGAATTAATGATACTTGAAGCATAACGCTTTCTCCTGCAAATTCACCCATCAGCCTGCTCTCCAACAGCTAGGATGGGACCCCAGGTCTACAAGGGCCTCACCTGGCAACAGAGCACTGAGGTTCCCAGGAGGAAGCCGGACCCAGCTGAGGTCTTCCAGGCGGTCGCCATCTCGAGCCCAGTCCACCACGTGCTCCTGCGGCTCACTGGACCCCTGTTGCCAAGTCACCAGCAGCTCTGTTCTCCCAGCAATGCTGCTGACCACCACGCCATGTGGGGCAGAGCCTGGACCTAGAGGAGACGTCTCAGCTACCCACTCAGGAGGTCCCCTCTTGAGCACTTCCAGGCTACTGAGTGGAGGAAGTTCATAGCCTCTTACCCAAGCAGACCAAAGAAATGTTGGTGAGAGGATCCCAGCTTGTGGCATTGATGGCGGACACTGCAGCCCACTCCGCCTGGGGGGGGATGGAGGAGTTACAGTAGGGCGTCTCCTCTGAGATCAGCTCCTGACCTTTAACCTGGAACCAGACTTTATAGCTCACTTGCACGCATGACTCTGGGGCCTGAGGGATGAGGAGAAGAAAGGGTTAATATCTCCCATTTATCAGACCTACTGTGTCTTTCAGTGATGTCACCTGATAAACCAGTCAGTGAAATATTTTTGTTGGCTCTACTTTACAGATAAGGAAACTGAGTCTCAGAGGCGCTCAGCAGCAGAGATGAAATTAGAATATAGTTCCAGGGCCAGGACTAGGGTGAGGTGAGTGAGGCATCTATCTTGGGTGCAAAATTTAAAGGGGAGGATACCAAAAACCCAGTAATCAAGTTATATTGTTTTAATAAAAATTAATGCAAAAAACTCATAACAAACAAAACATCCAGATTTTAAGTAAAGACAGGATCTGACCCTGCACATGTACAACCCTGCTTCATTTGCCTCACCCTAGTCTGTGTCCTGTGCAGTTCTTGGGGATTTTGGAATTCCACTGTTGTATAGAGGAGTGGTTATATTTAGCAAAGAGGATGGTACTCTCCAGGGGGGTTTGGGAAAATTTGTAGGATTTTTTTTTTAGCTGAGCCATCCTGCCACCTATTGGCAGCTCAGCGGCTGCTCAGCTTGGGCTGGGACTCGAACCTCTGTTGCTCAGAGCTCAAACTCTTGAGCGAGCTCTTAACCAACTGAGCCACTCAGCCGGCCCTGTAGGAATTTTTGGTTGCCTCAATGATTAGTATTTGATGGGCAAGAGTCAGGATGCTACATTGTCCTAGAAACAAAAAACTGTCCCATGATCCTTATGACTTTTGAACGTCATCCCCACTGGAAACTTCTGAAGATGAAAAGCCTGTCTAATATTTTTAATTAATCCTAGAACTATAAATATATCATTTGGAGGTCTGACTTTAATAGTCACTGAATTGTTATATATTCAGAACCTACGAGGACTTTCTAGGCAGTTTTTATGATCAATTTCCAGGACAATCTATGTTTGAATGTGCCCTGTATCACCTCACCCGTTTGAAGTCCCTGGAAACTGGCTCTATGGACTGGCATGTGACTGATTTTGGTAAAAGTCCTATCTGTGTATGGAAAGAACGTATGCTCTCATGTTTCTTATGTGAGTCCATTAACTTGTTTGTTAATCACATGTTCAGGTATTCTAGATCTTGACTTGTTATCCATCTGTTTGGTATGAAATTACTGAGAATGATGTGTTAAAATATCCCACAATGGTTATGGAGTCACATATTTCTCCTTATAGTTCGGTCAATTTTTGCTTTATGTCTTTTTTTAAAGCAATATTATTAGGTACCTACAGATGTAGTACTCTTATATCATCCTGGTGAACTGAATTTTTTGCCACTACATAGAACCTTATTTCCCCTTTATTTTCTACTGAATATTATAATTAAAACACTGTATTATACATTTTTTTAAAAGTGTATGCATGGGTTATGTTATCTAGGTATTTCATGTAAGGATAATAAAGGGGCATTACAAAGTATGTGTTATGCAACAGAAGCACTGAGGCTGTGAATTGCTCTTTGAAAGTCAGCAAATCTCAGCTCTGCCATGTACTAGTTGTGTGGTTTAGGGCAACCTCTCTGTGAATCATTTTTCTCATCTGTAAAGTTAGTTAATATAAATAAGTGTGTAGGCTAGGACCTGGTACATACCATGTTTCCCCGAAAATAAGACCTAGCCGGACAATAAGCCGTAGCATGATTCCTCCAGGATATGGAGGGCACGCACCCCTCACAGGAGGGTTTTATGACCTATTTCAGGGAGAAGGGTGCTTTTTCCACAAACTCCTTCAGCTTAAAATATTCAGTATGACAAGGTGCCATATTTTGGCACCTAAAATCATGCTACAGCTTATTTTCTGGCTAGGTCTTATTTTCAGGGAAACAGGGTAGTAAGAGCTCTATAAGTGTTATGTAATGGTTTAAATTGATATTAGATTGTGTGGCCCTGTTGTTTTGTTCCTTGTCATATTTACTGTGAGCCAGGGCCTAGCAATGCCTAGAACATAGTAGGTACTCAACAGATTTGGATCAGTGAGGACTGTTGCATCCTTGTCTGTCATCTCATATTGCCCTTTTTTTTTTTTTTTNAGGAGCCATTGGAGGCAGAGAAAGATGAGGAATCACTGAAGGCAGAGAAAACAGGAAGTGAGAAGCCACTGGAGGCAGAGAAGACCCAAGAGGTCAAGGAAGATGTGAGTCCAGAAGAGCAGAGAGAGTCAGGAGGAGGAAAGGAATGTGAGGCAGAGGAGGTGAGTGAGGTAGGGGCTTCCCTGGGGGCCAAGGAAGACCCACAGCCAGAGGAAGAAGGACCACAACCCCAGGAGAAGCAAGAAGGCTCCCTGGAGGAGGAAGCAGTGAAGCCCCAACCCCCTGCTGAGGGTCAGGACCCCTTGGGGGACGCCACTCCCCTCCTGGCAGAGACCCCAGCCTCTGAGCAGCCTGCCGAGTGCCAGCCATTGCTTCCGGTGGAGCGGCGTAAGGCCAACCCCAGTGCCCGCCCTGTGCCCACCTATGCACCTGCCCAGCAGCCCGAGCCATCTGCTCCTCCTGAGGGCGAAGAGGCGAGTGGCCCTAAGCAAAAAACGTGCCAGTGTTGTGCGGTGATGTGAGCCTGCGCCCTCCACCCCACACCCCGCTCCTCTCACAGCTACCTCGGCCTCTTGGCATCCAGCAGAGGGTCCCAGGCACAGACAGGACACAGGGAACTGGCCATGGCATCCGGGAGCTAGCCGGCCCACACATCCACTCCACCTGGGCTTCTGGACCCCTTGCCCACTGCCTGACCTTGGCCCCATTCTCCGACTAAGCCTTTATACTTGAAAATAAAACATTAAAGCATTCAGACAGCTTGAATGTGTTATTTTTGGCACAGCACCACCTTACCATCTCCTGGTGGAAAATTGAAGGCTTCACTCAGCTAGAATCAGAGATGATGAGTGATTGAGCATATAGGTGTATCTGCTGTAACAAAAGACCTCAAGCTACAGTAACTATAAAAACAAAAGTTTATTTCTCTGGGTGGCTCTGATCCCTGCAGTCACTTGGGGACTCAGGTTCCTTTCCATTTCTTGCCCCAACACTCCCCTTGGGTCCAGCTGAAGCTGGATCACATCAATATTCCAGCTCATGGGAAAGGGAAGAGGATATGGAAGATCCCCACTGTGTCCCAGCTTCTGCACATATCACTTCTGCTCACATCCATTAGCGAGAACTTTGTGCATGGCCACACCTCACTACAAGGGATGCTGGGTGTATGCCCAACTACGGCTCTGTCACAGCAGGAGGACAGATTTGGGGAGGCAGCTGCCACTCTGGATTTCATGTATTTTCCTTTGTTCCTTCATCCATCCATATATTCCCTATAGGGCCAGGCCCTTCTCTGTAGGGGTCTTTCAATCTCAGTTCTTCTGGCTGGGTGTCCTCAGGCAATTGACTCAAGCCTCTCTGGACCTCAGTGTCTTCAGCTGTCAAATGAGCACCCCTCTCCCAGCCTGGGGTTGATTCAAGCCAGAACCTGGAGCCTGAGTGGGGCCCAGAAGGCCCAGCTCCTCAGGCGTGGGCAGGAAGTGTTTCTCATACCCAGAGTCAAGCCGGGTGGAGGCCTGTGGGGGCTCCGTAATCGGTAGCGGTTGCATGTCTTCCACTTCCATGATGGGCAAGTCCTTGGGGGGTTGGGCCTGGGGTACCTCCTAGAAAAAGAGGAGGCTCAGATTCTGGCCCCCATTCTTCCCCCCTGCTCCCACCCACTCCCCAATGTCTTGACATCCTCCAACCCCCTGGAGGTTCCCGAAAAGCCAGTTTTTTTTGCTTACCTCCACATAGGGCTGGCTGAAATGGCTGTTGGCAGGATCAGGGACCTTCTCCCAGACCCAGTGGGGCAGCACCTTGTGCCGCAGGTGGGGCCACCTGGCAAGTACGTAAGAGGGAAAGGAATCCAGGTGGCCAGATCCCCATGCCCAGGTTGCAGAGTCCAGTAATGTCACAGAGCCCTGGGGTGTCCCCTCACCCCAGAAGCTCAGCTAATATCCAGCTGTCCTCCCCACCTAGGCAGAGACCCATGTGTCTGCTAGCCTCACCTGGAGGCTATCACGCAATAGCCCATCAGGAACAAGCCCCACAGGAAAAGGACACCAGGCAGAATTTTGAACTTTAGGGTGTTATCTAGGAGGAAGGAACAGATGAATAGTTGGACACCAGGAGGCAAGGGAGGGGTCAGGTAAGGCTCACTGATGGGCAGGACTTGGGTGAGGGCAGTGGGTAAATGGGTGGGGCTTATGAATGGGTAAGGGATAAGAATGGGGGAAATCTGGGGGTGGGAGTGGGATTTGTGAATAGTGCAATAGTCAGTGAAGAGGTCAAAGTCAGAAGTGCGTGAAAGGGTCATAGAGACACACAGTGCCTGATAATCCACAGCAGTATTTAAAAGAATCAAAATGCATCGTCAATAACCACCCCAACCCCCAAGTCAAAAGACTGCCCACTCACTGAATCCCAGCGAATCATTCCATACACCCTTCAATGGAGCAGGCCTTCTCCTATGGCAGTGCCACCTTACCTGGTAGGTGAAGCCGGAGGCTGGGACCAGGTGGGCCCTGTCCTGCGATGGTGGATGCCATCACCCACAGCTCACACGGACCCCAGGGAAGGTTGGGCAGGGAGATGTTCTGGGTGCTGCCACTCACTGCAGGACACACACACAGAGGTCAGGAAGGCAGCCAAGTCCTACCTCAGGGTCTTTGTACATGCTTTCTCTCTGCAACACTCCCCCCAGATGTCCACACAGCTCTCTCTCCTTCAGGTCTTTGCACAAATGTCACCTCCTCAGGGAGGCCTTCCCTCACCCCATCACATATAAAATTGCACCTCTTTCACCACTCATTTTTCCTGCTTCATTCTCTACCCAGTACTTATTACCACCTGACATACTACTCAGATATTTACTTTGTCTACGCTTGCCTGTCCATTAGAAAGTAACCCCACGTAGGCCATACTCTCAGCACCAGGATCATCCCGGCACATAGAAAGCACTCAAAAATATAGATTTGAATAATGAGTGAGCCAGCAATGAATGAACATCATATCCCTCACCTGCACAGAACCCAGCGAAGGGAACTNCTTCCTTCCTCACCCTTTTATAGCCAGCCATACTGACCCTCTTTTCTGTTCCTTACACTTGCCTAGTTCATTGCAGCCCCAGGGCCTTTGTACTTGCTGTCCCCTCTGCCTGGAATGCCCTTCCCCACTTCTTGACTCAAGACCTGCTCTTCTCATCCTTCAGATCTCTGTTCAATGTCACCTCCTCCGAGAGGCCCTCCTGCATCTTATACCTAAAGGAGGCACCTCATCACCTTCCAGGCACTCCTGCTTTTTTAACACCGCATCCTGCTTTTTTTCCCCTGCCATAGTCCTTTTTACTCACTGACATTATATATTTATTTATGTGTGTTTATGACCTCCCTTCTCCCACTGGAATGTATATTAGAATAGCAAAAGGCTTAATGTCCCTTGTCCATGGTAACCTCAGTAGCTGGCAGAGTAGGTCCCTAATACAGAGATATTAGCTGTACCGCCCAGTATTGATTAAACACCTACTGTGTGCGAGGCACTGGAGCAGAGGGCAATAAACTGGGTGACGGCTGAGGTACAGTAGAGGGTTTGGTTCTGAAGTTAATGGGGAACCACTGAGGGTGTTTGAGCAGGGGAGTACTAGCAGGCAGGAAGTTCAAGGCAGAGACATAGGCTGGCCTGACCTTGTCTCTGCCGTTCCTGCAGGGTCACCGTCCGCTCTCCCAGCCCACTGTGGAGGCAGGTACTGCAGGTGGGTGTTTGTGCTCCTCGGTCTGGGGGTCTCAAGAGGAGGGGCCTGAATCTGGGTGTCCTGAATCTTACCTTGTCGCTCCCTCTCTCTCCTCCCCCCAACTCCCCCAGGCCAGACTGATCTGAAGAGAGCCTCCTTGCCAGCTGAACTGGGCACATCCCCAGAATCCCCCCCTGAGCCCAGAGATGAGGTTGTTGGGGTTCCACCAGCCCTGAGGCAGGTCCCTGGGGCAGCTGGGGGCTCCTTAGAAGCAAACGGCCCCTGTCCCAGACCTGGCCCCCCTCCGGAGCAGGAGCAGAGTCAGGGGATGACAGCATCTGAGGTGGGGGTGGATGAGGCCAAAGGCGAGGGCGTGGTGAAGGTGGTGTGGGAGGGACTGAGGGCCACAGAGGACTGTGCCACGGGGACCACAGGCCCTGAGCTGGAGGCTAAGGTGGAAGAGATGGTGCTGGAGGCCATTGGGGACAGGCAGGAAGCTGACCACCCACAGCTCCCGTTCTGGGTGAAAAAAGACAGGGGCATCGTGGAGGTAGTCTGGGAAGGGGTGGGAGGCAAGGAAGGCAATGACTTAGAGGCCATGGGGGAGGGGGATAGGGGCCTAGAGGCTATGCAGACCAGCTCACCTAGACTCCAGGAGGGACTAGAGGGAGTAGGTTCTGGAGAAGGGGAAAGGGCTCCCAGGGGCAGCCCTGATGGCTATGGTCAGGGGGGCTCTGGAGGAGAGGAGGGGTCCTTCATTTGGGTGGAAAGAGTGACCCTCAGCGAGGAATGGGAGGAGCTGCTGGTGGAGGGCTTGGAAGGGCCAAGGGTGCCAGGGAGGGAGGGAGGAGACGAGAGTCCACTGGGAGTGGAGAGAGAGGGAGGACAGGAAACCTGGGAGGTAGAGAGGAAACAGGCAGAGGAATCAATGGGCACAGAAAAGAAAGGAAGTGAGGAAAAGGCGGGGGCAGAGTGCGAAGNGAAGGGGAACAGACAAGTTGCTGTCTTTTTGTTCTTCAGTCTAGTTGTGGAGGACGTTGCTTCACTGGCCCAAGTTGGCACCATCATTACGCTCTTCCCAGGCGAGGCAGATCAGTTGCCAGCTTCTGGACGGCCGCTCACAGCGGCTGCTGGCTACACATGGTAGCCTATGGCAACCCACTGCAGCAGGGGCTGCAGCCTACGCCCGTCACTGCGACTCACGGCAACCCAGCTCCAGGTTGAGCTGTTGTTCAGCATCTTAGCTGTAGAGAGCAGTGTCACTGGCCCTCATATGTGGGATCCGAACTGGGGCCCTTTGGCGTCCCAAGCCAGCTCTTAACCAACGCGCCACTCGGCCGGCCCCATATTGGCCTTTTGATACTAGCTTCTAAGCCCTTTGTACACTGGGCTATATTTTGTGGAGCTGAGCCTAGCCTTGCTTCTAAACTTTGCACCTGCTGTTTCCCCTGCCTGGAACATCTGCGCCCATCTTCAGGACTCAGCTCAGATCTCCCAGAAGTAGCTGACATTGGTGGAGGCTTGCTCTGTGCCCAGCACTATGCCACAAGCTCTCTGAACCTTCCCCTCTAAGCCTTGATGCAATCTCAAGAGGGCAGCACAATAACCTCTGTCTTGTTTCCATCATTGTTATTTGGGCGTTTCCTGACATGGGCAGAGAAATGTAACAACTCACCTTCCACAAAAGCAGGGATTTCTGTCCACCTTGTGTCCCACAGAGGTTCCCCGATATCCATACATCTTTTGGAGCTGGCAAGGATGAGGAAAGTGGCACAGATGAGAGGGGTATGGCTGTATAGACTTCCAGGAGAGAGGACGAAGGTGTAGGGGTAAGCCAGGAGATCCTTACCAGAAGGCAGTGTCTGGAAGGACAGAATGGGGCTCCATTCGCCCCACAGATCCTCTTCTTTCTCCATTCGGCAGCGGCCAGATACCTCGTAGACAGTGGCTAGCTCCAAGTCCTGGATATCAACAGGGGTCAGCGGTATGGACTTCAGCTCTGGTTCCAGCTGTGGGACAGGAGAGAGCAATGAGTCTGAGGGCTGAGTTAACAGTACCTGACCTTATATGTCAGCAGGATGGCCAGCTGTCCTGCTTTGCCTGGAACTGCGGGGTTCCCAGGACATGGAACTTTTGGTTTTAAAATTGGGACAATCCCAGGCAAAAAGAGACAAGCTGGTCACACTATGTGCCAGGTATGGAGTAGGTGGTAAACTCTATTATTACCCCCATTTTCCAGATGAGGAAAACTGAGGTCCAGAAAGGAGAAGTGACTTGCCCAAGGTCACAGAGCGGTGAGTGCTAGAGCTGAGATTTGTACCCAGGCAGTGAGATTCCAAAGTCTGCATCTCAGCATTGCTCTGAATTGCATGAATAATCACAATGCCGACAACTCTTCTCTATATTGTGGTGTATTGCATCAAAAGCTATGGCTGATACAGTTGGTTTCTTCCAATATCGATTTTCTCTCTTCCTTTGGAAATAGAACCTCTGAGTATGAGTTGGGAGCCTGGCTATGAAGAATAAAGACGATATTTCCTAGTCTCCTTTGCAGTGAGGTGAGACCATGTGACTATATCCTGGCCAATGAGATATGAACGGAAATGACATACGCAACTTCCAGGGTATGCTCTTATAGTGTATTGGCAGGTCCCTCACCTCCTTCTGGGGTCCCATTGCCCTGGGGTTGTCTTCCACTTTCTTGCTGTGTGAGCTTGGGAAAGTTGCTTAGCTTCTCTGAGGTTCAGCTTCCCCAACTATAAAATAGGGATCTTAACGTAGGGAGATTGGGTGGGGTGGGGGGGTGGTAATCATCAAGACAATCCATGTTGATCACTTACCCTGGGACCTGATGCATGACAGGTCTCAGAAATGTCAGCTGCTTTTATTAATTCTTTTTTGTTTGTTGTTGTTGTTTTTGTTCTTTTATTAATTCTTTTTGAGTGTTTTGAGAACCAGGCATTGACCCTCATCTGTAAAATGGTACTCTCTAAATGCTGTTATTCTCATTTTAAGGTTAATGTAGCTCTTTGAGGACTTTTATTCATTTACAAAAATGTTACAGGAAGTTTCTCAAAAATCCCAAGAGGAGTTTGGATTGGGACTGCATGAAATTTATAGATACTGGGGTGGGGGCAGTAATTTTTTAGTTGAAGACTATATGTGTACAGGCCTTTTATGTGGGATGCCAATGGACTCCAGGGTCAGGTGAAGAATGCACTCTGGGCTGGGTCTGTGATTTGAGGGTGATGCTTGGAATAGGGTGGAGGGAAAGCACTCCTGACACTCACCAGGGTCCAAGACCTCTCGTCGCATCTTCGGTAGTAGAACTGACAGACCAGGACCTTATGGGGCGGCCACACAGGTGGGGACCATTCGACAGTGGCCTCCAGGGGGTCATCCTCTAAAAAGTCCACATCAGGGTCCAGTAGGGGGGCTTCTGGCTTCACTGAGGAAGGGGAGGCCAGGGTGCATTGAGTTGCGGCCTCCAGGACCACCCACCTCCCACATAGCGCCACCCTCCCTCCGGCTTGTTACTTCGGGTCTCCAGGTTCACGTAGACTGGGAGCCAGAGAGGCCGGCCCTCCTCGGCCCCCCAGACAAGGAGTTCATCAGATGTGGTGAACTGTTCCCGTGGGATGGTCACCCAGCTCTGCCCGAAGGGTACCGTCACAGTCCAGGTTCTGTTGGAATGACTGTGAGGAGAGAAGTGGGGATTGGAGGAGTGTACATGGGGCTGGGCCCAAGCCATAACAACAGCTTCTCTGCCTGGGTTCAAATCTCAGCTCTGCTGCTTTAGAACTGTGTGACCTTGAGCAAGCAACTTAACTTCTCTGTGCCTCAGTTTCCTCATCTACAAAACTAGGGTGATAAAAGTGCCTGCTAAAAGGGCTGAATAGGGGAGGGGAATCAATGAGGTAATAAATGGAACACCATTGGGTGCCCAATACATTTTACGTGAGCATTGGTAATTGTATTTATTGAGCACCTACTATGTGTATGCACATTTACATCTATGCAACTATTCAGTCAGCAAATATATATTGTGCCAGGCCCTGTTAAAGAAGCTGAGAATAGGACTATGACCAAAGGAGGCAAGGACCTATTCTCTGGAGCTAGCGTTCCAGTGGGGGAGGAAGATGAGAAACCTAAATATACAATTGATGGCGGTAGAAGCAATATAAAGAACAGTCAAGTAGGGTGAAGAGGATGCAATGTGATGATGGGGTGAGGAGTGCTATTTTAGGGAGAGTGGTCAGGAAAGATCTCTCAGATGAGAAGACATTTGAATAAAGGCCTGAAGGACATGAGGGTGGAACCATGCGGTACCTGGGGAAGGACATTTTAGGAAGAGAGAACAACCAGTGCAAAGACCCAAGAGTCAACTGCCTGTGTTTGAGAAGAGCCAGGAGGAGGCTATGTGGCTGGAGTGAAGTGAGTGGGGGAAGAGAGGGAGGAGGTGAGGGCAGGGAGGTGACAAGCAGATTGTTCAGGTCCTGGTGGGCCACAGGGAGGACTGGCTTTTACCCTGAGTGAGGTGGGCGCCCTGACAGGCTGTGAGCAGAGGAGGGATGTGCTTTGATTCAGATGTCACAGGTGCCCTCTAGATGCTATAGGGGAGAAGAGTCTGTAGGGTTGAGGGTGGAAACCAGACCCCAGAGAGGAGGTGGCTCCACTGTCCAGGTCAACGATAATGGGGGCTGAACCAAGGTGGGTGCTGAGGAAGTGGGGAGTGCCAGATTCTGGATAATACCGAAGGTGGGGCAGGCAAAGCTTGCGGAGGGATCAGATGTGGGTGAGAGAAAGAGGAGCTGAGGGTGTTCCCAAGGATTGGGTTTCAAAGGCTCAAAACAGGCTTTCATAAAAAAACAACAGAAACACAGTTATTGGTGAAGATATTGAGAAATCGGAGCCCTCATACATTGCCGGTGGGAAAGTAAAAGTTTGCATCTGCTGTGGAAAAGTTTAGTGGCTCTTCAAAAAGTTAAACACAGGGCCGGCTGAGGGGCGCATTGGTTAAGAGTTGATTTGGGACGCCAGCTCTGAGCAGCAGGGCCCCAGTTCGGATCCCACATGAGTGCATCCTCTACAGCTAAGATGCTGAACAACAGCTCAACCTGGAGCTGGGCTGCCGTGGGTCGCTGGCGACGGCGTAGGCTGCAGTCCCTGTGGCAGTGGGTTGCCATGGGCTACCGTGTGTGGCCAGCAGCCAGCGTGAGCGGCCAGCAGCCGCAGTGAGCGGCTGTCCAGAAGCCAGCGACTGATCTGCCTCGCCCGGGAAGAGCGCAATGATGGTGCCAACTTGGGCCAGTGAAGCAACGTCCTCCACAACTAGACTGAAGAACAAAAGGACAGCAACTTGTCTGTTCCCCTTCCCCCAATTCCCCAGCACTGTTCCCATCCCCCAATTCCCCAATTTAAAAAAAATCTTTAAAAATTAAAAAAAAAAAAAAAGTTAAACACAGAATTGCCATATGGCCCAGCAATTCCACTCCTAGGCACATACCCCAAAGAATTGAAAACAGGGACTCAACAGCGTGGGCATGTTCATAGCAGCACTAGTCACAGTCACCAAAAGGTGGAAACAACTGAAATGTCCATCAGCTGGACGATGGATGAACAATGGAATATTACTCAGTCATAAAGAGGAATTAAGTCCTGATATGTGATACAACGTGGACGAACCTTACGCTCAGAGAAAGAAGCCAGTCACAAAATACACATTGTGTGTGATTACACTGATATGAAATTTCCAGAACAGGCAAATCCATAGAGACAAAAAGCAGACTGGTGGTTGCCAGGGGCTGGAGGAGGAGGAATGGGGAGTGACTGCTAATGGGAATGAACACCCTTTTGGGATGACGGAAATGTTTTGGAACTAGATAGAAATGGTGGTTGCACAACATTGTGAATGTACTAAAGCCATTGAATTGTTCACTTTAAAATTATGAATTCTATGTTATGTGAATTTCACCTCAATAAATAAAGGGCGAACCTTCTCTAACTCCTCCACCCTGTACCAAGTAAAACTAGGCCCCACTTCTGGAGATGGGTGGTGGTAATGGTTGCACAGCAATATGAACGTACTTAATGCCACTGAACTGTACTCTTAAAAATGGTTGAGAAAAAAAGATGGTAAAATTTATGTATATTTTACCACCATTAAAAAAAAGCCAACCCCCACCCTGGTTCCCACCTTTCAATGTCCCTTTTACTCTTTGCTCACTTAGCCAAATTTGAAATGAATTTGAGTTTCCAGGTGTGACTCATCATGAAGGAATGTCAGTCACACACCTCAGGCTGTGGGCCCCATGAGGGTCAGCCTTTCTGTCTTTTTTACTGCTGCATCTCCAGCACTAGACCGAAAGATCTTTTCATATGCTCAGAGTGGTTAAGCTAGTTGCCTAAGGCCACACAGCAATAAAAACAGTTTCTAATTATTAAGCATGTTCTCTTTGCCAAGTGCCTCTCTCTTTGTATCCCAGAACTGACCCTGGGAGGCAGGATTTATTTCTTGTCGCCATTTGATAGGGGAGCAAAGGAGTCTCAAAGAGGGAAAGTGACTGGTCCAGGGTCATGCAACAAGGAAATGAGGGAACCTGTAATTATTGAAGGGCTTGAGAGTTGAGGAGGACTGGGGGCCAGGATTCCTGGGTCCCTTCAACTGGAGAAGGCTGGGACCTAAGCAGCCACCCCTCCAAAGCCTGTTTCCCCAAGCCCTTCCATTGTACTCACTACTTCTGGCTCTGGAGATGCAGCGTGGAGGGGGCTCCCAGGTCCCTAAGAGTCTCCCACGAGCAGTTCAAATCGCCAAAGGGTCCAACTCTATAGCACTGCAAGGGCCCAGAGCTGCCTGGAGAGGAAGGCGGGAGGGTCCCAGGGCCGCCTAAAGAGGGGAGTGGGAGGGCCCAAGAGAAGAGGGTCAATTCCCGCAGCCGCCTGCACTGCCCAGAACCTGAACCTCCCACGACCCTTCATAATTATGGAGGGCGATCGGGGACCCTTACGGAAGTGAGCAGCAGAAGCGGGGCGCTGGGCACTCCTACCCAGGCTTTAGGCATAACTCCTCCCCTCCCCCTGCCAGCCACATCCTGTTACCACCCCAAGAGCCCCCACCCCGCACCCCGCGGCTCTGCTTTCCGTCACCTGCCGTCCATTCCCCACTCCTTTCTTCTCCTGTCCCGGCCCAGGGAGGAACAGAATGGCGTCCGGAACTCTTGTCATTCATTGCGCGAATTTGGAGTTCGCCCTGAAGGATTTGCGCTTCAAGGGTGAGCGCGCGGCCGAGCGCCCGACATGAGCTCGCCCCAGAACTTACCCTGAGGCCGTGAACCCTGGAACAGCAGCACCAGCAGAGGCAGCAGCGCCAGCTTCGGCCTTGGCCATGGCCGGCAGGGGGCGGCCCGGGTGCCCCGCATGGCGCTCCCAGAGCCCCCAGTCCAGCCCGGCCCTGCCTGGCCCCGGCGGCCGCGCCGCACGTCTTGCTCTGGGAGTCCAGCCCCCGAGAGGCGACGGGAAATAGAGCCCCCCCTCCCAGCCGCCTCCGCACCTTGCGCTCGGATCCCCGCCCCTTCCCCCCCGCCCTAACGGAAAGTGGCGGGGGGGGGGCGGGGCGGGGAGTGGGGAGGCGGCCTGGCGGGTATGGCAGAGGGGGTTGGGGGCGCGGCCGAGCTCCCCTGAAACTGCATTCCTCCCACCCTCTCCAACAATATACACACACGCTGCAGAATCCTTTGGAACTTTTATTATTGGGGTTACAGAAGGTTCTGATCCTTGCCTATATCCAGCCTCCCACCCCAGGCTATGAAGGGAACCTACAGTCCTGCCACCAACCCTGGGATGCACAGCCTTAGAATCCCAGTAGGTGGGGCTGGAGGCAGAGGGGCTGGAAGGCAGAGCAAAGGTTGCGTTGGAGCAAGAGCATCATGTGGACTGGCCAGGGGACAGCGGCCACAGTGGGGGCAGGAGAGAGTCACAGTTTGGGCAAGGGCCTCAGTATGGCTAGTTTGAGTAGAGTAGGGGCACCGTTGCACAGGGGACAGTAAAATCCAGACAAAGGCATGATGTGGGCTGGGGAGAGGGCAGGAGTCAGTATCAGGGGTGTCCGTTTGGCCAAGTAGGGGTACAGCTTACTCAGGGTCAAGAGAGGCTAGTCTAAGGTCAGGGTTGTTGGAGAGGACTGTGTCCGAGTCCATAGTGCCTCACCTCCGTGACTTGCTGATGAATGAATGTATGAGGGGCCAGACAGGTGCCTAGCATGCCCCCTGGATCCTCTGGCCACCCACTCTTCCAGTCTAGCAGAGGCTGCTGATTTCACTCTTGCTGCAACCCCACTTGCAGCAGTTGCTAGAGAGGCCAGCCAGGACATCGCGGCCGCCCCGCAGAGTTCCTGGAGTTCCCTGCCAGCCTGGTCGGCCCCCATAGAAAGCCTGGGGGAACTTGTTCAGGGCCAGCCACTCGCTGGAGGCCACTGCCTCATCCAACTCGCTGTCTGCATCTGGGTCTGCATCTGGGAAGGCATCCCCTGCAAAAGATGAAAAGAGTTAGTGCTAGTCACACCCAGAGTTCTGGCTTCTGGTTGACCTAACCTACCTACTTTTCTGTTCATGTGACACAGCCACATGGTTTTGATTCCCCTCAGGCCTGGGGTCCAGCTTTGATAGGCAGATTATTCAACCACACTGAGCTTGACTTTCCTCTCCTATCATTTATTTCCCTTTACTCTGTATTTATGGAGGACCTGATGGTTAAGAACATGTGTTTGGGAGCCAGGCTAACCAACTACCAATCCAGCTTCTCTGAATTATAATCCTGATCAATTGACTTTACTTCTCCGAGCCTCAGTTTCCTTGTCTGGAAAGTAAGGAAAATAATAACTCCTACTTGTTAGGGTTTTATACAGAGTAGATGAATTAATTAATATGCATTTTAAAAACCTTAGAACTGTGGCACATGATCAGCACTCAAAATAACACTGAGCATTCATTGAGCCCTGTGTGCCAGACACTGTTTTAAAAGCTTTTGTGGATGAATTCCTCTATTCCTCTCAATGACAACCTCATGAGGTGGGCAATACTATTATGACCCCATTTTCCAGAGAACACTGAGGCCCAACTCAGTAGAGTAACTGCACAAGAACATCCGGCTATTGAGTTGTAGAGCTGCTATTTGAACCCAGGCAGCGTATCTTCTAGGTCCACATTTATATCATCATCATCTGTTTTGTTGCCAGGCCCCTGCCCTTTAGGAAACTAGTGCTCCTACCCCCAACTTGAGCCCAGATTGAGCCCCCTGCCCGGCTTGGACTGTGTCCTTATCTGTTTTGACTAATTTTTGCCACTGAACAAACTGAGATGCAGGGACTATGCCTCCCATTTGCAGATAAAGAGGCTCAAAAGCGTGAAAGCAACTTACCAGGAGGGTCATCCACTAGGTGGCCAAATCTGGCCTTGGATACACTGCACCCCCGCACTACCTTCCCCGAGAGGTTGGAAAGCACTGCAGAGTCAACTTCTGAATGGTGTCTCCCCTGGAGTGGTGTAAGCAGCAGCCTTGCTCAGTGCAGGGCTGGGCACATAGCAGGTACCCCAGAAATAGTAGTCTGTCCTCTGGCTTTTAGCCAGTGGAGTTGACTTTGACCCTGTCCCCCTCATCCCAGCTTTGCAGCTGGGCCAACTGGCACAGCTTCCAGGATGGGCCAGTCTCCCCATCTGCAAGCTGTAGAGCAGGGATTCATCTGCCCTGGCCCCTGGTTTCATTTCTGTCCCTGGCTCTTTGGGCCCATCCCATGTCCTGTCCCTCGTCCCCACTCCCAACCCCACTACCTCCCCAGCCTCACCCATTGCTTCGGGAGCCAGGATGTCTGACCGCCTCCACCGGGAGCCTCCGCAGGTGAAGATGACCGCTCGGATGAATTCCCGCCCGCAAAGCTTCACTCCGTAGGGTGCCGCCCGGGCCTCAGCCTGCAGCCAAAGCCCCCCAGCCAGCACCCACATGGCTAGCAGCAGCAGCAGCGGGCTCTTGGCCATGCTGGACAGTGATGCCTGGGATGCAAGAATGGGCACAGCGAGGCAGTTTCCCAGAGGTCGGTGCCTCTGCTGCCTTCTGGTCCCCCATTTATACATCCTGGCTCCCACGCCTGTGGTAGAGGAACCAAATGACCTCCTTTATCTCTTCCAGCAGAGGGGAGGCAGGCATGCTCCCCGCTACCCTGACCTTTCCCATTTCCCCAACCAAGCGATAACCTTTTGCCAGGGATAGGATGATGTGGCCGGCTCACTGTCATCTTCAACAGAGATTGGCAAGAACTCAATTCAGCAGAGACCAGGAACCCAGATGCCTACCAGACAGGGAGAGAGGGCACAGCCAGACCCCACACACTTCACAGGGCTGGGGTCCTGGACCTCAGCTATAATAATAATTATAGCGAGCCCCTACACAGTATGGGCTGTGGGGCCAGGCACTGCTCTAAATATGTTTATATTTGTGTAATCTGTTTAATCTTCCTGATGACCTAGGATAAGCCTCAGAATCTCCTGGAGGGCTTGTTAAAACCCAGATCGCCGGGCTCCCCTGCAGTGTCTGAGAATCTGCATGTGCAACAAATTTCTAGGCCATGCTGATGCTGCTGGTCCAAAAATCACACTTTGGAGAGCCACTGGACTAGGAGATTAGGACTAAGATTATTCCCACAGTACAGATGGGGAACTGAGGAACAGAGAGGTGACATAAGGTGCCCAACGTTGGCTAATAAATGGGAGTGGGGTGGGAATTGGAACAGAGCCATCTGGCTCTAGAATCCATGGTCTTCAAGGAAAAAAAATTTTTTTAAAGATTTTATTGGGGAATTGGGGGGAAGGGAACAGCGCTGGGAAATCGGGGAAGGGGAACAGACAGGTAGACAAATTGCTGTTTTTGTTCTTCAGTCTAGTTGTGGAGGACGTCGCTTCACCGGCCCACGTTGGTATGATCACTGTGCTCTTCCCGGGTGAGGCAATCGGTCGCTGGTCATTGGTCGGTCGCTCATAGCGGCTCCCGGTAGCTCACACCGGCTACCAGCCACTCACGCTGGCTGCCAGCCATTCACTTAGCTCATGGCAGCCCACTGCAGCCCTGCTGCAGCCTACGCGGTTGCTGGCGACTCACAGCAGCCCAGCTCCAGGTTGAGATGTTGTTCATCATCTTAGCTGTAGAGGGCGAGCACCACAGGCCCTCAATGTAGGATCCGAACCGCAATCCTGCTGCTCAGAGCTGGTGCTCCCAAGCGAGCTCTTAACCAGCTGAGCCACTCGGCTGGCCCAAGGGAAATTTTTTAAGGATTAAAAAAATACATATGGGGACAGATCTTCAGTTTTGGAAGATGAAAAGAATTCTGGAGCTGGATGATGGTACAACAATGTGAATATACTTAATGCCACTGAACTGAGCACATAAAAATGGTTAATATGGTAAAATTTATATATTTATTTTTCCACGATTACAAATAATAATTTTAAATGTTTAATTAATACCATATACTTAGAGGAGATGTGACATGCTGGGAAATGTTTAACAATGGGCTCTCCAGAAAAAACTGATTGTAGCAGTTGTCAGTTTCTGGCCAATTTCAAGCTACCCCTGTGATGTCCCCAACTTCCTGGAAAGTTAAAAATCTGTTCTCACAAGTCAGTAGTTGGCTCCAGGATACCACTGGAAGATGAAAAATGTACATGTGCAATTTAAAGAATCATTTTAAACTGGACACCGGCTCATCATCACTCAGATCAGGAAATAGGACGGTGTTAGCACCACAGATGGTCCCCTCACCCCATATCCTTCTTGGTCACAATCCCTCACTTCCTCCAAAGTTAACCACCATCCTCACTTTAGCCATGATTATTTCTCTGCTTTTCATTACAGTATTTTTTTTTAATTGGGGAACAGTGTGTTTTTCCAGGACCCATCAGCTCCAAGTCAAGTAATTGTTTCAATCTAGTTGTGGAGGGCGCAGCTCCTTGGCCCATGTGGGGATCGAACTGGCAACCTTGGTGTTATGAGCCTGAACTCTAACCACCTGAGCTAACTGGCCACCCTCATTACAGTTTTAATACCAACATGTGCTTCTCTAAACCAGAGAGCTGAGTCTGTTTCTTTCTTTTCTTTCCTTTTTCTTTTCTTTTTTCATTCTAACAACTGAAACCTTTTATCTCACATGCAGAAAAGTGCACAGATTATAAGTGGACACCCAGAAGAATTTTCACAAATGGAACACATTTTTGTAACCACCACTCAAGTCATAAGAGAGAGAATATTCTCAGCCTCCACCCAGAGCAGGGCAATGAAGCGCCATCATCTGGGAGGAGGAATATGGAAGAATTGGTGGATTTATGTGAAAGCTATGATAAAAATACAAAAAATTGATAAATACTTTGGCTGAGGTATGTGGAGTCTCTTCAAAGTTCCTGTTTCCCATTAAAGTTCACCCACTGCTTTTACATTCATTGGTGGATCATGTGTGTGAAAACTATTACTGTGGTGTTTGTTTATCAGGGATTTCCCATTTATCTCATTCCTTCTACATTTATTATTTATTATTATTTGGATTCTTCTGTAAGGAAGAGTTCCATCTCCATAGATTTGTTTATTCAATCATGTCTTTATACACATATGGACTCATGAACAGTTATTTTGGCCCTTGGGTTACAATCCAGTACTATTGTTATTTTGCTGCCCAAATTGTTCCAGGTTTGGTCACTGGGAGCTCTTTCACTTGACCCCTGCTGTAAACATTTTATTTCAGGCACTGTTCTTTTGACATCATTTTTTTGTCTGTTTCTTTGAGGGCTTTTTTGTTTGTTTGTTTAGCACTTCCTTACTTTCTAGCACCACAAGATGTTCCAGGCTTATCTTGTGTTTTCCTCACCCCAGTCCTAGAATCAGCCATTTTCTCAAGGAACCTAGATTCCCTTTATTGAAGAATGGCATTGGGAAACCAAGGTCTGGGTGCTGGGTGTGCTCATTGCTACTGGGGGTGGTGGTGGGGTTATGTTGTTGCCTCTAGGCTCTCTCAGCCGATGGCATTTCTTTTTTTTTAACATTGAGGTAAAATTCAGATAAAGTAAAATTAACCGTTTAAAACATTACATGTGCATTACATGCACACACATGTTCATAGCAGCACTATTCAAAATGGCCAAAAATCAGAAAAAAACCCAAATGTCCATCAAAGGATGAATGGATAAATAAAATACGGTCCATTCATACAATGGAATATTACTCAGTCATAAACAAGAATGAAGGGCTGATCCATGTTACATTGTGGGTGAACCTTGAAAACATTACACTGAGTGAAAGAAGCCAGACACAAAATGTCACATGTTGTATGATCCCATTTATATGAAATGTCTAGAACAGCAAATCCATAGAGAAAGAAAGCAGATTAGTGGTTTCCAGGGGTTAAGAGGAGAGGGGGTTGGGGAATAATTGCAACTGGCTGTTCCTTTGGGGTGATGAAAATGTTTTGGAACTAGACAGAGGCGATGGTTGCATAACATTGTGAAATACTTAATGCCACTAAATTGTTCACTTTAACATGGTTAATTTTATGTTATATTAATTTCACCTCAATTAAAAAAATAAAACAACAGAGCCTCTGGTGATGGGCAGAGTTGGGTTCGAATCCCATCTCTGTCTCTTTCCTGCTGTGTGATCTTGGGCAAGTCACTTAACCTCTCTGTGCCTTGGTTTCCTCATCTGTAAAACAGGGAGGATTCAATGCATATGTCAAATTCATAAAACAGTCTATGGCATGCAGTAAGTTCTGCGTAAATGTTATTTCTACTTGACATATTCCCTTTGGATTGGAAATTAATCCCTTTGTCCTTTTCTTCATGACAAACTCCTGGCCTTGGTTGCCCCCTGTGGATGCCTTGGGCCAAGGGCAGTGCTCCAGAAGGCAAGAGTCATATCTGACTGTACTGCTTTGAAAGGGCTGATGAATAATACGCTCTACCCACCCCTGCCTTTTCTCCCAGCAACTCTTCAGGGACGCAACCTTCTTCCCTTTCATGGCACAGGCTGGTAAAGAACAAAAATGCGAGAAAATTTTTGCTGCCTGACTATTCAACCAGAAGCCTCTTTTGTGCCTCACAGAGAATCAAAGTTTTGAGACCCACTGAGTAGATGGAGATAATAAGTGTATCTACTTCACTGGGCTGTCTGGGGACTTTGGTGAGATTATGTAAAATGTTTAGCACCTGCACAGCACACAGTAAATACAGTGGACTGAATGGTGCCCTGCAGAAGGACAGGTCCCCCTCCTAACCCCTGGGATCTGTGAATGTGATCTTATTTGCAAAAAGGGTTTTTGCATGTATAATTAAGGACTTTGAGATGAGATAATCCTAGATTATCTGGGTGGATAGATTCAATGACAAGTGTTGAAGATTGCAGACAGAAGTGACAAAGCCATGTGAAGACAGACAGAGATTGGAGTCAAGTGGCCAAAAAAGCCAAGTCATGCCTGAAGCTGCCAAAGGCTGGAAGAGACAAGAAAGGATCCTTCCCTAGAGCCTTCTGAGGGAGCATGTCCCTGCTGACATCTTCGTTTTGGACTTCTGGCCTCCAGAACGGTGAAAGAATGAATCTCTATTTCTGTAAACCACCTGGCTTATGGCAATCTGTTACAGCAGCCATAGGAAACTAATACATAAGTCTTAGGAAATGTTATGTGCTACCCATATCATTATTATTTATCATTGTTATTTTGGTCAGCATAAAAATGCACCCAGGGCCGGCCGAGTGGCGCGATGGTTAAGAACTGGCTTCGGACACCAGAGGGCCCCGGTTCGGATCCCACATATGAGGGCCAGTGACACTGCCCTCTACAGCTAAGATGCTGAACAACAGCTCAACATGGAGCTGGGCT